GTGTGTGTGTGTGTGTGTGTGTGTGTGTGTGTTTGCACACACACATTTGAGAACAGCGGCTCCCCTGGAGTTGGGTTCTGGAACTGAACAGGTCCTCTGTAAGAGCTGCACACACTCTGAACTGCTGCACTGTCTTTCCATCCCCACAGAGGGAGTATTTTGATTTCCCTCACTCTAGGCTCCTCCACAGTAACAACTGTTGAACATGTGACTTTGTTGGTAGAGAGCGTGTCTAGCCAGCATCCAACCCAGCACCTCCTGAGCTAGGCGCGCATGAAGTGCCTTGCTCAAGGCCCTGAGCCACACGCTATGGTCGTTTGCTGGTCTCTTTTTTTTTTCTTCAAGAATCTCTGTTTCTGTCTGTCTCTCCTTCCTTCCTTTCTTTCTTCCCTCCTTTCTTCCCTCCCTCCTTTCCTCTCTCCCTCCTTCCCTCCTTCCCTCTGTCCTTTGTCAGCTATAAGAAATAAAAGCAGACACACTGTTCTCTTTCCTTGGTCAAATAGGCAAAGCCAGGGGAGAATGGAGTCCAGGTCCTCCTGGGCTGGGCTGGGGCCTCAGGTGCCTTGACTTTATAGAAAGATGATAGCCTGGGTTGGGTGCCCAGGAAGCAGCCCACACAGATCTGCAGCCAGGCACAGCAGAGACAGCAGTGTTTAAATAGTTTTGGCTTTGCAGAGAGGGCAGCATGCCTCTCCCTCAGCTTCCCAGAGCAGCATGTGAAAACTATTAAGTCAGTTTATTTTTTCTAGAGTGCCAGAGTGGAAGTGACATTGACGTCCTCCTAGTCACCCGTGGGAACAGGGCCTCCAGCATTCTCCAAAGCTGGCATGTCTGGGGCCCACCTTGCAGACCCCCACTCAGTAGGACCCCATGTCCACAGCAGACAAGCCATCCTTCAGGGGTTTTTGTAGTATTTTGTCTCTGAGGACTATAAAGTTGGAAGTTGGCAGGCCTGGGAGTTGGGTGGGGTGGAGAGATGGCTCCCCAGTTAAGGACATTTGCTGCTCTTGCAGAGAACCCAGGTTCCCAGCCCCCCACATTAGGTAGCTCATGACTGCCTGGAACTCCAGTTCCCGGGGAACTGACGTCCTCTTCTGGCCTCCACGGGCACCTGCAGCTCCACCGTGCACACAGACAAGCAGGCAACATACAATGCATATAAATAAAAATAAATTTATCATGTCTACTTTTAGGCAGTGGTAGGGATGGAACCCAGGGCACTGTGCGCACTAGGCAAACAATCTACCAACAGAGCTACACCCAACCTCCCAATACCTTCTAAAGAAACACTGATGCCCAGGAGATGAGAAGATGGCTCAGTGGTTGAGTGCTTGCTGCTCTTTCAGAGGATGGGAGCTTGGTTCCCCGCATCTATATCAGGCAATTCACTCCAATGCCTGGGAATCTGATATCTGATGCCCTCTTCTGGCCTCTTTGGGCACTACACTCACATGTGGCACACACACGCGCGCACACACACACGCACACACACACACACACACACAAAGAAACAAAAACAAAATTTTAAAACCTCCAAATGATGCCCTTCTGAGTGTGGTGGTACATGTCCACCACTCAGGAAGGGAGTCAGGAGGATGTGGAGTTCAAGGTCACCCTGAACTTGCAGTATGCCCTTTGCATAAGAATAGCCTGTTTTAGGCTGTCTAAAGTGCTGTGCTTCTTAGAATGTGAGCTAGAGGCGCAGCTATGGGGAAGCCAGGCCACTGCAGTAAGCACATCTAGATAGGCGATGCCACTGTCATGAGTGGGCAGCCTCACCAACCAGTCACTCCTGGGCAGGTCATCATGATGGAAAGTGGCTGCCTTGCTTTTAGGGGTTGTCCTGGGATTTCTTTTAACAGAAAAGCTGTACTCTTCCTGGGGCTGTATAGGGCTGGGAAGCTTACCTTCCTTGTCTGCAGATACTCCTAGGGGATGACACTGGCTGGTGGCACATGGCCTCTGTCACTCTGTCTGTGAGTGGGGGTAAGCCTTTTACTGGCCTCAGCTGTCAGCTCTGTGCCAAGAGTCTGCCTAGGACCTGAGGGCTGTGGGTTTTTTTTTTTAATTTTTATTTAAGGCTAAAAACAATTTTTAAAAAATGTATAAGAATGTATATCTCCACATGCTGTTGAGGATGTGGAGAAAGAGGAACACTCCTCCATTGCTGGTGGGATTTTGCAAACTGGTATAACCATGCTGGAAATCAATCTGGCAGTTCCTCAGAAAACTGGAAATAGTTCTATCTGAAGACCCAGCTATACCACTCCTGTGCATATACCCAAAAGACGCCCCATCATACCACAAGGACACGTGCTCCACCATGTTCATAGTGGCCTTATTTATAATACCCAGAAGCTGGAAACAACCCAGATGTCCCTCAACCAAAGAATGGATATAGAAAATGTGGTTCATTTACACAATGGAATACTGTTCAGCTATTAAAAATGAGGACATTATGAATTTTGCAGGCAAAGGGATGGAACTAGAAAATATTATCCTGAGTGAGGTAACTCAGACCCAAAAGGACATGTATGGTATGTAATCACTGATAAGTGGATATTAGCCGGGCAGTGGTGGCACACACCTACACTAAGTACAGAACACCTAGGATACAATGCGCAGACTGGAAGAAGGGTAACAAGCAGAAAGGCCCAAGTGAGGAGGCTTCAATCCCACTTAGAAGGGGGAAGAAAATAATCACAGGAGGCAGAAGGAGGGAGGGACCTGGATGGCAGAGGGGAGGGCGAGGGGAAAGGGGAAGAGAATCAGGTATGGGGGAGGGCAGAAGAGAATCCCAGAGGGCCAGGAGAAAGGATGGGAATAAGCAGCCTAGGGGAGTGGGAGATGGGGGGACCCTCTAGAAAGTACCAGAGACTCTCAGGACTCAATAGGGATGATCTTAGCCAAAAAGCCAAACACTGGGGAAAGGCAACTTGAGGAGTCCACCTCCAGTAGATAGACAAGGCCTCAAGCAGAGGGACAGGGGTAACTAACCCACAGTCAAAATTCCTGACCCAAATAAAGAACTACAGGGACAAAACTGGAGAAGAGTCGGAAGGAAAGACAGTCCAATGACTGGCCCATTGGGATCCATCTCATGGCAGGACACCGAGGCCTGACACAATTACTGATGCTATGATGTGCTTACAGACAGGAGCCTGGCATGGCTGTCCTCTGAGAGACCCTACCAGCAATGACTGAGACAGAAGTAAATACTTACACCCAACCATTGGTCCCAAGTTGGAGATCCCTATGGTTGAATTAGGGGAAGGATTGAAGGAGCTGAAGGGGAGAGCGACCCCATAGGAAGACCAGCAGTCTCAAGTAACCCAGACCCCTGGGAGCTCCCAGAGACTGAGCCATCAACCAAGAGCATACATGGGCTGGTCCAAGGCCCCCAGCACAAATATAGCAGAGGTCTGCCTGGTCAGGCCACAGTGAGAGAAGATGTACTTAATCCCAGAGAGACTTGAGGCCCCTGGGAAGGCGGAGGCCTGGATGGGGAGCACCCTCTTGGAGGCAAGGGGGAAGAGAAATGGGATGAGGAACTGTGGGAAGAGGGGACCAGGAAGGGATCAACGACTGGAATGTGAATAAATAAAATAATTTAAAAAGAAAAGATTCTCTTTGCATATGCCAAATGAGTCCAGGTGCTCACAGAAGTCTGAAGGGTGTGTCGGGCCTCCTGGAGCTGGGCTACAGAGCAGCTCACCGTATGTTCTGGGAACTCAGCTCCTCTGGAAGAGCAGCAAGTGCTCTTAAATAGAGAGCCATCTTTCCAGCTATATGATGCTTAGTTTAAGTTATCAACTTGGTACAATGTGGAATCATCTAGGAAGAAAAGTCTCATGAGGGGTTGTTTGGATCAAGTTGGCTATGGCACACTCTCTGTGGCTGACTGTGTTATATTACATTAAATGATGCGAGAAGACTGACCATTGTGGGCAGCACTATTCCCTATGACCATTGTGGGCAGCACCATTCCCTATGCTTGGGATTTGGGGGGAGGGGACTATTGACTGGAATGTAGAGATGAGGCTAAGCACTAACACACATGTGGTTTCACTCTCTTAACTATGCATGTGACCAGCTGCTTCAAGATCCTGGCACCCTGACTTCTCCAGAGTGCTGGCTGTCTCCTGAGTTATGAGCTAATGTAAATCCTTTCTCCCTCAGTTGCCTTTTGCCAGCATATTATATCCTAGCAACTAGGAAAGAAACTACAGTGCCCTCCATGGATGCCACACTTCCTCACTCTCAGCAGCACGAATCTAACCCCTGCACCTCTCTCCACACTCTAGGAATGGTCTCCCCCTCCGCATCCTTGTGGAGACAAAGAGCTGTGCCCTGGCCACCATCCAGCAAGACTCCTCTAGGTGTCCCAGTGGGGCACAAAATGGGAAATGAAGCCTTCCCCTCCTCTGCCTGAGGACCACACTTGAAGCACTGTACAGGTGTGAAGGTAGAGAGCCCCACTGAGGCTGCTGCATGAGCCAGCCCAGGCCGAGTGTTGCCGGTAGACTTCTGCCTACCAGGAAGGCTATAACTCAGGCCACCCAGGTGCTGGCACCCTCTGGGAGCACCCATCTCCGGGAGCACCCGTCTTGCCCTTCTGAAGTCTCATGGAGCTTAAGAAAAAATGTTTTTATTCCTTAAAGACAAAAGCTTTTTGGTTTTAATACATAAGTGAGTTCTTTGGCGGACTCCAGCTCCGCCTTCTGGCCAGGCCACTCCAGGAGCCTTAGGCCACAATCTCAGCCACCATAGCCGTGACCTGTTCAACTGCCACTTCCAGTACCCAACAGGCCTCTGGAACTCAGGAAGCTGTGATGGAGAAAAGGCATGGGAGAGGCTGCCCAGATTGTCTGAGGACAGGGACAGACAAGGCTACTTCCTTTGCTGCGATCTGTCCTTGGGCCAGGGAGGAGGCTGAGCCCAGCACACACTGTCAGTTCACTGTAGGCACCTGGCTGTGGTGGAGGCTGAACTCTTTGGCCTTGAGGCGAAGGCTGGCGATGCTGTTGGCCATGTTGACTCCAGGAGTTGCAGGACTTGAACCTCCGGGGCTGTAGGGAGGCACTGAGCTGGGGAGACAGGAAACACAGGATCCCATTGGTGGATCTGACTAGTCCTACTTCCTCTGAAGATCTCAGGGTAGCCCTGGCCAGGGTTACAGGATTGGGGGAGGAGACAAGCATCCAGACGTAGTGCTGGGTCAAAAGAGCTTCCCCAGCCCACACCACTATAATCCCAACACCTCGGGTGCTGAGGATGGCCTAGGTTACTGTGTGGAATGTTCACCTTTTATTTATTGGCATTCCTCTCTGGATTGAGACCCTCCTGAGAGTGGGACATGTGCTTTGTCCCCTACTACTGCTCTGTGCCCAAGTGCTTCTGGATGAGGATAAGTCAGGGAAGGAGGTTGGAGACTTGGGGACCCCACAATACCCCTTCCCAGAAGCTCACAGCCCCTGGTGAGGAGACAACTCCTGGAGCTGTAAGATACGCTGGCCCAACTAGCATCCCCTCCTTCCTACCTTGGAGGGGGTCATGATTTTTAAAGAGTTATCTTATGTTTTATTTATGTGGATGAGTGTTTGCCTACATGTATGTCAGTATACCACATGAGTGCCTGGTCCTCATGGAGTCCAAAAGAGGGTGTCAGATCCTCTGGACCTGGAGTTACAGACAGTTGTGAGCTACCATGAGTGCTGGGAATGGAACACAGATCCTCCACAAGAGCATAACTACTGAGCCATCTTTCCAGCCCAAAGAAGCTTTGTCTGTCTGTCTGTCTGTCTGTCTGTCTGTCTATCTCAACAATCTTACTCCTCTGCATGACTCTGGGCCTTGCCAGGATCACAGGAAAGAAAGACTTGCCCTCAGTACTCCCAGACTGTGTTTCCCCGTCTAGAGGATGGACAGAGTGCCGGGTCTAGCTTGAAATTCTTCCTGCAGCCTTCTCGTTATCTCAGCATGGAGCCTACTTTGCTCTTCTCCAGGCAGGCCTGGCTTCCTCCGTCTCCACATGTGTGTGCAGACAGACATGCATATCAATGCTCATGTGGACACACACACGCTTATGATCCCACACATATGTGAGCACTCATATGCAGGCTCTTAAACATCCACCTGCACTGACATGTATACACACTCATCCGTACACCATCGAAACTCTTCAGTTCTCCAGAGAGGTGGCCTTAATGATCCCATGGGGGGGGGTGTCTAGCTGACCTGTTGATACAAAGGAGCCCCCATTCTTACCTGTAGGGGGATGATGCTGGCCAGGATAGATAATCTGGGCTCAGTGTGGTAGGTCGGGGGGCCACAGGCTGCTCAATGGCTGCCTCCTGGCCATAAGACTTGAGCAGTGAGGCAGAGCGGGTAGCCAGCATGGCACGTTCATTCCGGCGAAACTTGGCACGGCGGTTCTGGAACCAGACCTGAGAGGAAGAGCATGGCAAGCGGGAGCTGGCAGACTTTGAGGGGATCTACATCCTTGTGGATCTGGGAACAAGCTTGTGCTAGCCCAGACCTGAGCTGGTGGCTTCATTCTCTGACCCTCTCTTGCCTCTTCCTTTAGAATGGTGATGAGCTAAAGTGTCTACATTACGTGCTGGGAAATACGACACATGAAAACAAACCAACCCAATAGACCGGCGATCCTTCAGGTCCTGTGGTCACAAGGGGAGGTGGACACACAGAACAGAGCTTTCTCAAAAGCTTCCCACATGGCACTGCTCTAAGGTCCTAGCTGTGTGTGCATGTGCTATGTGCATGTGCACGTGTACATATGTGCCCACTCACACACATGGGCACGCGGCTGCCAGTGGCCGGTGATCAATATTGCATTCTTATTTCGTTCCACATTGTGTTTTTCTTTCTATTTGTTTTGTTGTGTTTTATTTTGTTGTGTTTTGTTTGTTCGTTTATTGAGAAAGAGTCTCACTGAGCCTGGAGCTTGCCTGTTCTAGGCTGGCTGCCAATGATCTCCCAGGATCCTCTTGTCTCCACACCTCCCCGGCACTGTGGGGTGCACACTGCCTCCTCAGCTTTTTACACGGGTGCTGGGGATCTGAACTCAGGTCCTCCTGCCATGGCAAGCACTTACCCATGTCTTCCAACCCCCTTTTCTACATTTGTACATAAACATCAGCTCCTTGAATCATAGCCTAGCCTGCACTGTAGCTGCATCTACTCATTTGCAGGGTTAGTCACAAGCTTCATGAGCTTTCCATCTGAACTTGCTTCTCCTGGCTCCAGTGCTCTGAGCCAACTGTCTCTACTGGCAAGTGCCTGTCCCTGGGCCAACAGTGGCCACCCGTCTGGATGTGGGCTCCATGGAGCCTCTGGATGGACACCACTTACTTGGACACGTGCCTCACTGAGGTTGACACGGCGAGCTAGCTCTTCACGCACGAAGGCGTCAGGGTAGTGTGTGCGCTCGAATACACGTTCCAGTGCCTGCAGCTGGCTGCTGTTGAACGTGGTCCGATTCCGACGCTGCTTCTTCTTTCGTTTGGTGGCGCTGCCACGGCTGGGGCTGGGACAATCACCTGAGGAAAGATGGAAGGTCAGTACAGTGGCTGCACTGTACACACAATGTCCCCTGTGCCACAAGGGGTCCCTGTGGCCCTGTCCAGGAACATCCATAGGCTCAGTCATCTGCTCTTTTTACACTGCCTTTCCTGAGTCTCCTTCTCCTTGGACCTAAGGGTTGGAACATATCCTCTTAGCTCACCTGCTGTCTTTGTCTGTCTATCTGCTCACCCACTCACCAGTCTGTCCCCCTAACAAGTATCCATTCCCCATATCCATCTATCCAGCCTCCTGATAATTTACCCATCCATCTACCTCTCCACGTATCCATGCATCATCCACCCATCCATCCATCACCCACCCACCTATCCATCCATCCATTCATCCATCCATCCACCCATCCACCCATCCATCCACCCATCCATCCACCCACCCATCTACTATCCATCCACTCATCTATCCACCCGTCCATCCACCCATCCATCCACCCATCCATCCACCCGTCCACCCACCCGTCCATCCACCCGTCCATCCACCCGTCCATCTACCCGTCCATCCACCCATCCATCCACCCATTCACCCACCCATCCATCCACTCATCCATCCACCCATCCATCCATCCACCCATCCACCCATCCATCCATCCACCCATCCATCCACCCATCCATCCACTCATCTACCCATTCATCCATTAATCCATTATTCGTTCATTTGAGACAGTGTCTTTTTCTGAACTAGACCTAGTCATATTTTGTGGCCTCAAATCCCAGGATCCACCTGTCTCCACCTGAACCCCTGTGCTGCAGCTACAGACAGGTCCCTGGCTTTTCACATGGGTGCTGGGGACCTGAACTCAGGCCCTCATGCTTACACAGCAGGGACTTTACCCACTGAGCCAACTCTCAGCTTCTAAACTGTGTGCTTTAAAAGCCAAGACACCATCACTTGCCACAATGCCATGTCCAGTTGACACAGGAAGGTGTGAAGCAGAGCCAAGGCCCGGGTTCCCCCATCCCATGCCCCATGGTTTAGAAGACTACGAAATACAAAATTTAAGAGCCAACAAGCACAGCGCCATGTCCCGTGCGCTCTGCGGCTTTGAGTGGTCTGTTTCACTCACTAATGTTCTGGAGTCTTCCAACTCCATTCTGCACACGTAACTCTGCTTTCCCTCCTGTCCCTTCCTCTTTTGCTCTAACCGTCCAGCGTTGAGTTCTCAAGTGTAATACAATATGTGTAGTATTTTCTCTCTCATCTAAGGACTTGGTTTGCACTACGCATGTTTTTCCCATGTAACAAACATTCTGGAGCTCATTTATTCAGTCAGTGAATGGAACCTAGCACTTAGTCCCTACACAACTCTGCTACAGACTGTTAAAGGGCCCTCAAGGTAGATACTTGCTGCATTTAGAGTCTTTGGAAGCTAGAAGAATATTCAATAAATTGCCCCGTTGTGAACATGAACTTCCAGATTTTGCTCTGCGTGTTTGCTGTAGATTCCTAGAGGTGAGAGTTCTGGCCAAGGAGTACGTGATGTGGCCCACCACTGCTGCGTGGGAGGCCCGAGTGTCTGCTCCTCAGCCATCGGAGCCGCCATCAGGCCGTCTTTGGGATTCTAATCCATATCTTGTGTTGCTTCAAAAACCCTGTGACTTAGTGGTAGCGCATGCCTGGCATGGGGAAGGCCCTGGGTTTCGTCCTTAACACTGCAGAAGAGAGACCATTAGTTTGGGGAGAAGGAAATGAAAAATGAGAGGCCAGCAAGAAAGCTCAGTGACTGAGGGGACCTATAGACAATCCTGAATTCAGTCCCCAGAACCACAAGGTGGGAGGAGAGAGCTGACTCCCTGAAAGATGTCCTCTGACCTTCACCACACACATTCACTGTACACCCCCCACACACACCATATATATATATATGTGTGTATGTGTATGTATATGTATGTATATGTAGGGGGTGGCAGTCGGGGGCAGTGTTTCTCTGTATAGTCCTGGCTTTCCTGGAACTCACTCTATAGACCAGGCTGATCTTGAACTCACAGAGATTCACCTGAGTGCTGGGATTAAAGCCCTGTGCTGAGGTATGCCCCTGCTTCCAGCCCCTGATGCCACTCTCAATCTCTTTACTCATTTCTTTATTTTCAGTCCTGGGGATGGAAGCAGGGCCTCACGCTGGGCAAGCACTCCACCACTGAGCTACAGCCCAGCCCTGCAGACATTTTTTCCTCACTGGTGCTACTTGGACTAACAGTAAGAGAAGCTGGACATGCAGCAGTGTGCTCCAGCACACCCACCAGCAACAGCGTGCCCCTCCACCCGCCCCCAGCTGTCCCCGTGTCCGGACATTGCATCGTCTGTTCGAAAATGGCAGCGGCAGCTAGGCTGAGGGACCCCAGTGTATCAGATGAGCAGGAGCTCACACTCAGCGTTTCCCCTCTTTGGGAAACACTTGCAGACATGTAAGGGGAGAGGCTGGGAATGCAGAATGGCTGGTGCAAGCTGGCCCCGTCACCTGTTCCCTCCCCCTGCTTCCTTGTCACTCCACACCCCTGTCTGGCCTTAGGAGAAAGGGCTAAGATGGATGAGTGTGCCTGGTGCCTGGGAATGTCCCCATTCCCCACCCCTATTCCACCCCTCCCTCCCCCACTCCACCCCTTGACAGGAAAGAAATCCTAAACCAAAATAACTAAGGCCTGGGTGCTGAAAGTCAGGTGGTGAACAAGAGCCCAGAAGCAGAGATGGAAGCCTCTGGAACGTGAGCCATCCCTAGAGCTGACTTCCGCCCTCCTTCAGGCAACACCACTTGGGCACACACCCAATGCAGGAGGCATTTCAGCCAAAAAAGGAAAGTTTTTTTGGGAAGTTTCTGAGCAATTGGAAACTGGGGGTGTTTAAATGAAAACCATTTTTTTCAGTTTTCGCCTCCCTAAGCTGTGGAGGGCCAGATATGCCGCCAGTGACTCACAGTAATGACTCTCAAGGCTCTCCCCTGATGCCAGCAGGGGTCCTCCAAGGGGCTTTAGCCATTGTCCCCCAGGGTCATGACAGACAGCAAGATGGTTGGATGCAGAACACTCCAGCAAAACCAGTCTAGGCCAGAAACAATCCTAGAACTTCTCATGGAAGCCCAGCATGGCGGTGAGGTGCGGAGTCACTTCATACTTGGAGAAAATGAGACTCTAGGCTCCCTCAGGTCTGTGTTTGGAGTTGGGACCATTGTCTGCTGAAAGACTTGGTAGCTCCATCCTTCTGGGGTCCCCTCTCATAGCTATCTCACTCCCAGGCTTGGTGACACTGTCTGGTCCAGCTCCAGAGCCTCCGCAACAGTCTTGAGCAGTGCCTTGCTAAAGGAAATCTTCCTGGGAACTTGGGGACAGCGGCTTGCTCTAGAACACAAACTGATATGAGTCCTCAGTGTGAGGGAACAGACAGCCATTGCTCAACAAATAGCTCTCCTGCTCTGTGTGACAGCCTGGTCCCCTGGCCCTCTCTAGTACAGTGGTGGATGGACCTGGGACTCAGCCACTACTGAGCCCAGGCAGTAGCCCCCAGAGGTCACAGCCTGGCCCAGTGAGGGCTGCTGTTTCTCCTGTCTGTTACAGGTTCCTGCTCTGCCTCCTGAGAACAGGGATTCCCTCTGGGCTCCATGCTTGGCTTCATGTATTTGAAAAATAAATAAATGCTCTCTGAGCCCCAGGCCATTGGCATCCATCCTGTCTCATCCGGGTGCCTTCTCCAAGGCTGATGCTCACTGGGTGGGCTGCCTCCCAGGAGAGCTGTGTGCAGTCTCCTTTGGTTCCCAGACCACTCTTTGCCCCCCTCCCATTAAATACAAAGGCAATGGCTGGCCCTATTATCACGTGTGATTAACACATTTAAAGATCATCATGAAAGACCACAAACTCAAAGTCAACCTTGACTACAGAGTGAGTTCAAGATCAGCCCACAGAAGCTCATGAGAATCCCACTCTAAAGGAAAAGAGGGGTTTAGGACGAGCTTCAGTGTTAGATTGCATGCTCGAACGGGGCCCTGGTTCCACCCCAAGAACAGACAATACAATAAAAGCAAAGGCACGTGCAAACAGAAAAAAAATCTACAAAGCCCAAATCACCCCGTTAGCATTCACTGCTCTGTGTTCTGTGGAGACTGGGTCAGAACCTTGAGAGGCTTGCTGAGGCCTTTGGTCTCTTATAATCCAAGTGACATTGTTCCCAATGACATCACAATGACATAGTGATGGACACACACGGCATTTATGTGGCCCAAAGGCACTGAGACCCAAAGGCATTTAAAAGCCCTGCTCACTGCCAAACATGCAAGTGTTCCTCTCCCCTTCCTATGCCCATGGCTTTTCTTAGTCCATGTAATGTAAGGGTCTAAATAGCTTGGAGGGAATTAGCTGAGAAGTCTTCAGAAGACAAATAAACTCAGCCTGTCCATCCACCCTTTCTCAAGAGCCATGGACACTGCAAACAGTCATTTGTGCCTGACCCCTGGGCTGTGGCAAGCTCCAACTCAAATAAATAACTTTTATTAATTACCATTCATTCTGACCAAAAAGGCTCCATCCCCCGTGATTTCTGCCAACACGATCAGAAAAATAAATCACTGGTCCCTGGGACCTTGACTCGGATTTAACAAATTAACAGGAGGCCTTTCTCAGAGGAGGGGGTGGGAAGCTACGTGAACAGTATGTAGTACGAATTACAGACAAGGATAGAACAGGCAGGGCCTGGGGGTGCCATAGAGTTCGGGACTTCGTTGAGGTTTCAGGAGTCCTTGGTAGAGACCATGGTTCCTTTGAAGGGTCCCTAGAGAAGAAAGCCACATCTTTCGCCCTGGGTGCTACAAATTGAGCAGGAAGGGGGAACGTTCCATTAGAAGGAAGAGGGCTAGTGGGTTGGGCGTGGCTCCACAGCCGTGTTACACAGGTGAAGCACTGGGATCCACCCCCACTACTACTTAAACCGGGTGTGGTTGTGCACACGGGCCACCCCAACATC